TTGCACCTTAGTATCGCTACACGACTCCACCTTAGCGCCAAACCACCCTCTGCCCCACTGCGCTCCGACCACCGCCTTTACTTCGGGTCGCTCTCCGCTGTTGCCCGGCCTGCCCGTACCCAGCATAGCCCGTGGTCCGACAGCCCCCGCCGCTCCTGCTTTCCACCGCGTGGTCCGACAGCCCCCGCTTCTCAGAAACTCTGGTTGTCGGACGACCCTCGTTTTTATAGCCTTTACCGGCGCCAAGACCCCACGCCAATCTACTCTGTATCATTCCAATTTTAACAGATGTCCCGAAGGACTTAGCCGCGGTGGTACCCTCTCCTGTGGTTTCTCTTAAGATGTGAACTGCCAGTCGCGGTACCTCATCCCGAACGAAAACGGGACCGCAAATATCAATAGAAGTAATAAGCAATATAGAAAAAGCAAAGAAAAAATAAATCATCATAAATAGAAATCCCTAAGCAGGGTGCGGGGACTACTAAGCCCTACCGTTCCCGTGGACCGGGCCTGTCGCCGCGTTTGTCAACAAAAACCAAAGGGGGATAGCCCCGTCGGGCCCTCAACCCCTCGGTTCTCTCCATAGCGCTCTGCCGCTGCTGCGCCGACACTCGCTGGCCTCGATCCCCAAACCTTCATAATAGTAGTCCAATACCGTAACCTATAGGGCTAAGCCCAAGCGTGAGAATGAGTCCCGCAGAATACCATACAAGGCTGTGCGGCTCCCAGTGCCCGTGCAGGATGGCTTATACCATGCCATAACTGCCCCGCTCGCCATTCTACGACACCCCGCTTACCGCACAAGCTCGTACTATCGTTGTCGATATCACCGTCGAGGTCGTTCTCCGCACGCGCGCTCAACTCGGTCAAATGTACCAATCAAAGAAAATATCCTTAATTCCTGCTTAATCAAAAATAAATAAATAATAATATCACCAAGCAAAATGACCGAGGTCCGAGCCGGCTACTACGATCAACAACAAAAAGGAATCACGCACGCCTTAAACCTGCGTGCTCACGCACTTGCTATTGTGGTCAACCACCCAGTCAACGCAATTACAGACGCAGCCGCGCTTAGTGCGGTATACTTAAACTTTAAACAAAAACTGTTTTTTTGTTACTTGCAAAACCAGGGCGGATACCCTTGTAAGGGTATTCGCGCCGACAGCTTACCCGACCATATTAAGCGACGTCCCCGTCGCTTCGCCAAATCAGAAAGCTATAAATCCATTCACACTCCAAATGCTGACGAAACAGAAGCCGATCCGATTAGCCGACAAACACAGGGTAGAGGCCTCCATCAAAACTTGCCTCCACAACTATATGCTGCCAGGTTTCTAACCTGGGCCTCTCACCGCCCAGAAATTAGGACGCTGACCGCATAAGTTTCAAAGACCTTCCCAATCGTCCTCTCCCCGGTCCTAGACAACCTTCGGCTTCTCGTTGGGTGTCCCTAGTCCTGGCAAAAACTAGGGACGCGGGCCTTAATCGAGACCTTTTGAAGGCACTCTCGCCTTCCTTCTCAAAATCTCTCGCAATCAAAAACACATACGTATATACTTAATATCCGCTCAGCTCTTTCTGCAGTTTAGTACAGAAAGGCTAGGTCCCCACCTTGGCCCACCATAGCCTGGCTGATCGGACCAGGACCACGGCCCACCGCATTGTTATTTAGCAGCAGTACCCTCGTTGGTTACGCAACGATAGGTTTTCTCCTGATAAGCATTCAATCAGGATTTCCCCCAAAAATTATCAACCATCACTATCCCGCGGAGTAATTTCGCGGGGGCGGGCACCCCCCTTTAAGCTCTTACCCACGCGGTCCCGCAGCCAGGTTGCGCCGGCTAGCAGCCATCCAATGGGGTTATGCCCTAGAGGTACTAACTTTTTTTTTTTTCTGTTAGCTTGGCCTTTCTTCAATATATCTCAGAATTTGCACCAGTGGTTAGGCGGGGGCGTCGCAAAACAAAATCACTGGCCCACTGCGCGATACGCAGGGGTCCGAAGGCATTTACCAGCTCTCCCTCAATAGGCATGGCATCCTTCGTACGCTTACAAACAAAATCACCGCTAAATCCACCAGGCCGTGACCCCTGACTTGATCAGAGCCAGCAGCTACTCACCCTTAGACATCTCTCACCCTGCACTCATTGCGACTTTCTCAAACATTCCAAACAAAAATGACTCTTTTCATCAGACTTTATCACCCATCAAACAACTCGCCATGTCATAAATTAGTTTACTCACTTTTGAGGGTGAGTCTTCCAACCATAGACCAGTTCCCTTTTCCAAAATCCAAGGGGCTCTTATCATAAACAAAACACCCCCTCTTCCAAAAATCACGAGGGGTCTCGCCACAGAACAAAACACCCTCTCTTCCAAAAATTACGAGGGGTCTTATCATAATCCACATTGTCACAAAAGCATTCCCTTCTCCAAAATCCAAGGGGGTTTATCATAAACAAAAATCACTGAGAGACCATCTTATGGGTCCTCATCACAACTTAGGCATTCAATAATCAACATGATAGGCATTTTGAGCCTCCTGGGTTCATAAATCTTCAAAATCCTCACAACCTTTCACAGACGGACTGCACTTCCTCCCCTTATACTCCGCTCTATCAGCTGCCCGTGGGCAAGTCGCGCAAGTATACCGAGGAGTAGACAGTTTTACTTACAATCATATTCACAATACCCAAGAAACATAAAAGGTTTTTCACACATTGTCCACACAAACTCATTATACATCAGAGTACAACCACACATGTGAGAGAGATAAGTGATCGTCACATATAAGAATGGTCCCTGAAAGAAACCTCATCGTGATATACACTCAGGGACATAAAATGTCTCACCCAGAAAAAATTATCTCGAAATCATAACTTACTCAGCTCAAGCCACACCAAACCCACACTGACAACTACCCCTAGAATACATGTCAGATCTGTCTCTCAAAAGCCAGGGCGTAAGCCACCCGTAATATGTACATGCCTCATCTAGATTACTCTGATCCTCAAGTTCCCAGCTCAGTAGGAACACTAGAGTTCAGATCTAGACTAGTAACAATCATCATAAAAAGCCCTCTAGGTCTAAGAGGGTATCACACAGAACCTAAACTGATGCCTCACAAGATACTCGCTCACTTATATAGACAAACCGGCCCTACCTCTTCAACTCCTCCTGGTTTTGCCTATATAACTGAGCCCTAAGTCCATCTGCGGACTTCTCTACTATCCTACCCTGCCTATCATACATCTTACCCCCTGCCTCTGAGACCTTTCCTTCTGCCTTATCCTCACGGAACTCGAGACAGTCCAGAGCATGATGCACGTCCCTCTTGCAGTAGAAACATAGCTGATCGACCTTCCTCTTGAACTTCTTCTTCTTGGGTTGAGGAGGTGGTGATGAGGGAGATCCTACCAAGGTACTGACAACCCCCTGCTGCTCTGTTCCAGGAGCTGCGGTACTAACGACCTCCTGCTGCTCCATTCCAGGAACCGGTCCCCCAGACCCAGATCCTCTAGCCCAAAATCCCAGTCTGCTCCTCAAATCCCCTGTCACCGGGACGTACTCAGGTGTGTCCAACCTCTGAGGTCTCTTCTTGAGTGTCTCTCCTGGCACTGCCATGGGCTGCTCCTCAATCTCCTCTGGCCTATACTCAGGCGTACCCATCCTCTGGAGCCTGCTCTTGATGGCACTCTCCGCCTCAATCCCTATCTCTCTCTCAAGAGGTTCCTCTACCCTCTGCTTAGGTGAAAACAAACTCACCTCCTCCTGCATAGTATGCACTGCCTCAAGGAGCACGTCCATGGATCCCTCTGCTCAGCCCTGAGCTGACTCACTGCTAGATAGTGGCAACCCCTCCTCTATTGCCAAAGGTACGACTGCGTCTGTCGCTGCCACTGGCAGCGTCGCGAGCTCAGTAAGGGCTCTAAACTCGAACGCCTCTTTCTCTGCCTGTCTCTGGGCTCTCGCCTCCTCTAGCTCCATGATAACTCTCCCCATAGGTGGCTCTTGGCGAGGCCCTGCCGCAGATGGCTGTCCTGGCAAAACTTGTCCCGGCTGCCTCTGCTCTCCCTGTCTGCTGCTCTCTGACTTATCCACTTTTTCTTGGGTTTGGTGCCTCAGACTCTCAATGATAGCTACCTGACTGGCCACCAATGCCCTGAGTTCCTGGATTTCCATCTCCATAGCCTCCAGGCATACTCCATGGCTTGCTTCCTTTATTTTTTTTTCTTGCCAGATCGCTCTCCAATAACAAGTGTCGGTCAAAGGTCGATTTGACCAGGAACTTGATTTTGCGATCTATCCTCTCTTTCGCCTTCCTGGCCACCCAAAGCCCGGCTCTGACTGGCGAAGGAAGCTCCTCTCCTCTCTGCTCCCAGAAGTCTCTCCACATCTAAGGGATCTCCGGGGCCCTAGCTGGCGCGCTGGGTGACTGACCTGGGAGTGCTCCTGCTGCCTCCGATCTCTGCCTTTCCTGTTGCTGCTTCAGAAGTTCCCCCGCTGCCTCCAACCTCACCCTCTCCTGCCATATCTCATCTATCCGTCTGGTTCTTCTCGCCCTCTTTTCTTCAGCCGTCTCTCCAGCTGGCGCCCTTTCCCTCGTGCGGAGGTCGACCCTCTTCGGGATCTCTGCTTCCATCTCCTTCTCGGGTTGGTACGGCTCCTGGCGCGGCTCTGCAGGTGCTGGCTCCTCCAGGTGTGGATGCTCCAGGGCATAAGCTGCTAGGTGCCTATCAATCAGGGTCAAGGCCTCCCTCCTTACAGCTGCCCTTTCTCTCCTCCTGCCGGCTCTCCCCTCTGGCGATGGAGCCCTCTCTGATGAAGGAAGTGGGGCCTCCTCTTTCCGCAATCTCTCCTCTGCCTGACGAGTGTTCCCTGGTGCATCCCCGAGTCTCAAACCCACCGCTGGCGTCTGTGGGGGCGTGTCCTCTCCAACCTCTATCACTTCCTTCCCTGCACGTCTCCCCCCGTCGCCCAGCCTGCTCTCTCGCTGAGTACCCTGCGCCTCCTCTCGTGGCACCTCCTCTCGTGGCACCTCCTCTTGTGGTACCTCCTCTTTTGGCACCCCTTCAACTTGCTCTTCATGCTTCTCATCCTGAGGCGACGCTCTCCACTGAGAGATATCCAGATGCGTCTCCAACTCCCTCAACGGCCCTTCAGACCCTGGCGGCTCCTACCGTGTGTGTGCTGGTGACCTCCTCAATCCACCCTCAGTAAAACGATGGAACTCCACTGGTCCCAACCCATACTCAGGGTATGCCCCTCGCTCCTCAACCTCTGGCTCCCGCTCCGGCTCCTCCTCTATCCTGGCTAGGGCCTTCCGTCCTCCCCGAGACGGTCTCGCCTCCCCGGGCTCAGGGTCCCTCAGCCTCTGACTCCTCTGACGCTTCTCAACTCTGGGCTGAGGGGGCTCTGGTCGTCGAAAGGCCTCTCTCAGATGCGCCCTGCAGCTCTCCCAGTCTCGGGCCATGTCCCTGACCTGCGTAGCCAGTGCCCTCTCCGCCATTTTGGTCCAGAGGGGTAACGTCCTCGCCCGCTCATTACTCGGTATACCCTGCCCCTGCATGAACCACTCGAAAGCAGGAATGAAGTCCGACGCATTTCCAATCTCCACGCGGATCGGCCTGCCATCAGGCCCCACAGGCGAGGGTCGCAACTCCTGCATCCTCCACTCCACCTCTGATCTCGTCGTCGCCTCTCTACGGATCCGCGCGATGGGCTTCTTGAATCTGCCTGCTCCCCTCAATCTCTCAATCGCCTGAGCCGCGGTCCAGCCTATACGCCTCGCATGATCCCAAAAGCTGTTCAGGAATAGCTCGATGTCCCCATCATTGTATACCGGAGTACTCGCTCGATGGCGAGGCCCATGTTGCTCATATCCTCCTGGTGCTCCCAACGGCCTCCGAGGCGGCCGTGTCCCCCTCCCTCCTCTTGGCATGGCTGTCTTCGTAAAGTCAGACCTGCTCAACAGGCGAAGGAGACAACAGACACACATTGGGTAAGCAAAACAGGTGATAATCAAGCAAACTTAGACCAGACCACACTCACACAGCATACATCCTACCTAGCCTACACACCCTGCTACTTCTATTCTAAGGGCAGTCAGGTCGTCTCTCTTACCTCTTCTCTCGCCACAAATTTCTTCAGTCGCGTTCCAGATACCCAATTCTTCCACTCAGTCCCATTTAGCTCCTCAATTTGATACGCTCCAAAGTCTCCGACCCGTATGATCCGGTAGGGACCTAACCACCTCTTATCGAGCTTCGTGGACCATTGCGTCTCCAGTGATGAATCGTAGAGAAGCACGACATCTGCAACTGCCAAGGGTACTTTCCTCACCCGCGCAGATTGATCCCATCGAGCCTTATCGTCCATACAACTTCTCGCCACCTGGTCAGACGCCTCCTAGATCCTTTCTTCTATCGCTCCTATCTGCCGCGCCCGAATATCGAGCAATTCTTCAAATGACAGGTTAACTTCCAGATCCTGGCGCCTCCATGTCTTAAGAAAGCTCTCGATAGTGAAGGTGGCGTGCTTTCCATACCACAATGTCGCCAGTGCGTGCTTGGTGGATCTTTTTATTGTAATGTTCTCGACAAAGAACGTCGCCCTTAGGTATCTTGGTCATTGATTAGGCCTACCTTCGGTCCACTTAGCCAGGAGACTCGTAATGGTACTATGTCCTCTCTCTACGGGAGCATTTGCCTGGGGGTGCGCGGTCGTGGTGTAGTTGGCTACTACACTATACCTTGATAACAATTCTTGCACCTCCTGGCAGGTAAACTCCGATCCCCTGTCCATTACGAATTCCCTGACGAAAGGGTAACGCAGGTAATATTCCTCGATGCAGCTCACTAAGACTAACCCGGTCTTGGTGCGAATAGCACGCCCGTCTACGAACCCCGACAGGTTATCGCGCGCATCGAAGATATAGTTATAGCCCTGATCCCCAAGTGGCATAAAAAGCAGATCGAGATGCACTACGCCCCCCACCTCTTGCTCTAACCTTGTATGCAGCGGCTCTCCTTGCCTTAAACGGGATCTCTCCTGGCAGGGCACGCAGGATCGACAGAATTTCCCGACCATGTCCATCATTCCATCCCAGTAGTACAACTCACTTATCTTGGCATACGTGGCTTGTACCCCTCGATGCCATCCTGCAATGCCATCAAAAAGTGCTGTTATAACGTCGATCTGACGATTCCTACCGCAGACGACCCTCCTGGGATTCCCCACTTCTCTTCTCACGAAAAGGTGGTTATCTCGCACTAAGTAGCGCTGCAACATCCTCTGAGCCCTATCACTTGCATCCCTTAGCCGCATTTCACATGACAGAAGAAGCCCGAGTTCTAGGTAGATCCCGTCGTACTTCTCTGCACGAAAAGCCTCCTTAATCTCCCCCTCCTCGAACTCGTCGTCCTGGCTCTCGGGCACTTCGTCCACATTTCCTGTCGAGTTCAACGAGCCTGACTGGTCGAGGCCTTCCTGCAATAACGTGTTGACGAGGAGATACATTCCTCCCATCAGGTCCTCATGCCGTTCTACCTGGCCAGGTCTTTCCTCAATCGTTTTCATGTCCTCCACCAAGCTATGCGAGCTGGCCAGCGCTAGCTCCATCATCCACTGAACATCCTTACCGCCCCAGGGATCTTCTTCCTCAAAGGGCTTACGGACTAGGTCATTCCTCCTTTCATACCCCTTCGGCGCTTGCCAAATAGGATAGCCTACACAGCTAGGCACTCGCGGCGACCATTTGTTGATATGAAGACGAACATCTTCTTCCTGATCCAGAAATCCATCAACTGGGGGCGTATTCTCCACCGCCTCCCCTTCCTGTTTATCCCAGTTGATCCGACTCAGCCCGTCCGCCCGGTTCTTACTACCAGGAATCCGTTCCAATTCGAAATTGAACATCCAGATGTGCGTCAGCCATCTGGCAACCGTCGGATCCGATGGAACGTAATTCCTTAGAGAGTAGGCCAGGGCGGTCGGATCCACTCTCAAAATAAACCTCCTGCCGAAGATATAGTTCCGGAAGATTCGTAGACAGTGGAGGACAGCAAGGGTCTCCCTCTTGAACTGAGAGTAGTTCCTCTCCGTTGTACAAAGAGTCCGGCTATCAAATCGCAAGAGTCTTTCCTTTCCTTCCATGTCTGCCTGAATTAGAACTCCCCCTAAGGCAGTCGGTCCCGCATCCGTTTCGACAATGAAGGGTCGCGTCTCTGTGGCGTCATAATCTGGCGCTCCTAACACCAACCATCCTTCTCGAAATTCCTCCTTCATTTTTGCCACCACCTCTTCTTGTTCCTCACCCCATACCCATTCCTGATCCTGACGGACTAACTTCCTCAGGTGTTCAGTCTTAGCGGCGAAGTTCTTGACGAAGGCCCTCCAAAATCCACACGTACCAAGGAAGCTCCTGACATCGGTTATGGAGTGGAACGAAACTGACCACTCAGTAATCTTGTCCGTCTTCTTCACATCCAGCCTTCGGCCCTTCTCATTGCAGACGATCCCCAAGATAGTCGCTTCCCTCATGCAGTGTCAGGATTTGGCCCCGCTTGCCGTGAGGTTATGCTCTTCGAGCAGGCTAAGGACCTTTTCGAGGTCCTGGATGTGTTTCCAGACAAAGCGCCTTACCCCTGGTGAGACTTCGTCGCTCTCTTTCATCGCCGTCCCCTTCACTGCCAAATCGTCAATGTATGGCTGTGTGATATGGGGGCTGACTGACTGCATGGCCCGAATCATGGCCCGTTGGACCATGGCTACTTCGTTGGTCCACCCTTGTGGGGCCACACTCATGTGGACTAATCCTCGCGGCGTGTGCATAGCCGTCACCGACCTATCCGGCGGGTAGACTGGGAACTGATCGTATCCTGAGTAAAGCTCTATAAGCGAAATTATAGGCCTTCCAGCACAGGATTCCGACAGCGCGTCTGCATTCGGCAGTCCTCCAGCGTCTTGCACGGTCACTGCATTCAGTCTTTGCAAATCGTGCACCCACCGCAGCGTCCCGTTAGGCTTAATAAAGCAGAACCACGGGGACGCATACGGTCCACTTGAATAGTCGGCGACGTGAGTACGTATCTTGCCGTTGAGGTAATCCACCACCTTCCTTTCCTCGTCAGGATTGGGATATCGCGCCCCTCTCATGTTCCAAGGCTTGTATGGCACGGTGTGGATGCGGATCATAGGTATTTTATCCACATCCAGCCTGCCACGCTCTTCGTCACTAAACTCATAGGCGCGATGCTTCCTCTTCGTTAATTCCACCTGTCGGGCGCACCGGTCCGGCACTGTACGGGGGCAGCGCGGGACCCTCCCGGCCGCGTCACGCAGGAGTTGGTTTTTAGAACCCTTCGTCGCAATATACATGGAGCTTCCACAAGCCGCTCCGGCCGAGTGCGCCAGCCATACCTCTCGCTAGCCCCTACGACAGGATAGGGCCTACGCGAGGCACGACTTACCTATACCTTACGGGAGCTGTCACCTCCTTCGGTGGGCGTATCCCCGCCGAGCTACCAACCCACAGTACGAAAGCTAGTCAGTTGCAATCGCAGAGGTGGACCAGCCGAGGGCATTTCTCTTTCGCTGTAGCATTGGGGGTACGCGCGGTAATACGCCTTTATCGAACCCGYACGCGAATCAGCATCTTGGGGGGGCTGAGGTCCCAATCGCGACCCGTCGTCGGTCGACTAGGACGAATCCCACACACCACGCGCACTCCTCTTTACGAATACACATGCACACAAAACAACACATATACGAGACGACACAACACAAACAACGCGACAACGCTCCTAGCCCCTTGGTAGCCAACCCATAACTTTCCAACGCAAAAATCGAATAGGCGTCGCGCACGAGACTAGGTATAAAACCGCGCGGACGCAGGGCTATCGCATATCAACTCGCAAATGCGATTGTACGCAAGCAGTCGCAATGATGGCGTACTATGTAGTGCCCATAATCAAGCGGCCCCTCGTGAAATCGAGTACCGCTTATGACACTCGAGTGTCTGACTTGAAGTGTCGTGAGGGCCTAACCCTTCATGACATTGCACGGCTGAAGGAATAGCCGTGCAGCCGCTGCGATACCTCCGGCTCTTGGCCTGAGTGTCTCGGTAGGCAAATCAAATAGGCTCTGCGCGAGTGATAACCCCTCCCCTGCAGAGCCTAGGGCTTGGGGTGTCCTGGACAAGGACCTCGAATCCCGACCCAGGACCAAACGTCCRACTAAGAAAATCATCAAAAAACAGGAACAAATATAGAAGTAGGGGTCTCCCCTAAGTTCCTCCGTCCCAGCTTCTGAGTGGGGCTTTAATATGGGGACTCTTCAGCCCATGCAAACATTCATCCCAAGTATACCAATGTATACRTATATAAGGGTTAAGTATGAAACGATTACTTTTYACGGTCTCACTGGGATTTCTCACAATAATACGTATATGTGTGATCRCAGGCAACCAAATCCAGAATCTGACTCACAACACATACCTGCAGTCACATCAAATCAACAACYCACACATTACACGGAGTCAATCCCAACCACCTTCGACACTCATACCCCTCGCTCTAGCCATACAAGCCCCAAAACCTCATGTCCAACCAACCTTAATTAAATACTCAGTACCTTTGTTAAATGGTCATTCAATAAAAGTCCGCGTGAAAACCTTAATAAAACAATGAAGATCACCAAACTTTAGCCTGAGTGTGGAGGGAGAGTTGAAATTGAGTCGTAGACTGACGAATCGGCAACCGACCTGTTATCAGTGATAACAAAAAGTGATCCTCAAAAGGATCAAGCTGGATCTAGCCCTGAACTTGAAAAAAAGGCCTGTAACACACGGCAGATCAATCCCCAAGCTAAGATCATAAATGTATGGAGAATACAACTTCATAATTCGTTCTTGCTCAAAATCTCCCTGAAAGCTAAACCTAAGCCTATTTTAAAGTCAATGCTTAGGCTTAGGGTAAACCAACTGCAGAATCTCTCTTATTTTTGGTGGGTCGCCTGGATCGCCATCTGTCAAAATATAGTCTATCTCCTTTAAACTAAGAAAAATTTCGGCAGCGCTTCCCGTAGAAAAAGTGTCTTTCCAGAATTTATATAAGTCTAAATATAAACGCCGAAATAATCTCTAAGTCTGGAAAGTCAAAATTATGTCTAACTCTCCGAATTAGTAGAAATTTTGCCAGCACTCGCTTTATAAAAGGAGACTTCCCAGATTTATACTAAGTCAGATATAAAAACAGAAATAATCTGTAACTCTGAAGAATCAAATTCTGTCTAACTCTCTGAATTAGTAGAAATTTGAGTAACACTCCCTTTAGAAAAGAAGACTTCCCAGATTTATACTAAGTCAGATATGAACTCGAACAACAGCTCGAGTTCAACTTTAGACTGAATTTAACTAACTCATTTAATTTTGTAAGAAATTTCGGCAGCACTCCCTCTAAAAAAATGTTATTCCAAAATTTATACAAGACTAAGTTCAGATTTTGAAAGTAACTTTGACTTCCCAAAGTTCAATTTTGTTTAACTCCCTGAATTAACAAAATTTTGGGCAGCACTCCCTTTAAAAAGGGAGACTTCCCAGATTTTAACTAAGCCAGATATATGAAAAAGACAGATTGAACTCTGACAAGTCAAGTTGACTAACTTCTTGGATTTGTAGAAATTTCGGCAGCGCTTCCCGTAGGAAAAGTAGCTTGCCAAGATTTATACAAAGCCAAGTATAAGAAAAAGATAT